GTGGGGGTGCGGCGGCTGGGAGCGGGTCTGGGGGCGGCCGAGGGGTTGGCGACGCGGAGGTAGGGAGACTCCGGGCCGCGCGGCAGCTGGAGGGGCGTCCCAGCCTCCGCGGAGACGATGGCAGAGGAAGAAGGTGACGGCCCGGGGTCCAGTGCGCCAACTGCCGCCCGTGGTCCTGCGAAAGAAGAGCAGGGGCGCGAGGGGCCCGGAGGCCTAGGCTGCGGTCGGCCTGTGGCCGCGGCTGCGCGGGGAGGACGGGAAGGAGCGGGGCGGCGGCAGGTGGATGCGTGCGAGGGGGAGAGGTTTGCCGAGAAAATCAGAAGATGGGCGGAGTGAATGGCCCGAAGTTTTGTCGGCCGAAATGGGAAGCAAAGATGGAACTTAAAGTGGAGACTGCGGTAGCCTGAGAAAAAGCTGTGATGGAGTGGTAGAGAAGGGAGGGTTATGAGCAGATAATTAATGGGCTGGAGGACATAGATTGGTTCAGTAGATGTAGGTGAGAGAGTTTCTCAAAGGTGTACCGAGAGCGTATTCAAAATGTGACAGTTGTTTAACCAAATGCCCCTCATTCTGAGTGCGCCCTTTAAAGGTCTGTGGAGACTGACAAAGTCAGAAGTGAGAGGAAACGCACTCCAAAGGTATTAAAAAAAAGGCAGGGATTTGGAGTAAACATGGTAAGGTGAATTGGAAGGGGGTGAGCGAGCAGAAGCAGCTGAAGTTCAGTTATGGGTAAGGGAAAAAATGGCAAAGGGCGGAAAAATGTAAGTAGTTGGAGGGGGATGAGGATGCTGGGAAGGCTTTGGGGGTGAAAGGGGGTAGATTGATGAAAGCTTTCCATGCCCCCTCATGGCCAATGCCAAGGAAATTCACTCAGCAGTATTTATTCATGGAAAATGATAGGTATGACAGGAAAATGAGTTGGAAGGGAGCTAGTGATATAGTTAGTGATACTATAGGAAATATTTATGGTATAATAACTTCATGATACTCGTATTAGTTTCAGGAACAGGTATATATGGTGACTTGACTGAGCAGTTAGATTTTGCATTCAGGTGGAAAACACGACTTTTTACCTTATTGAGTGGAGTGGTGGATATGGTAGTAAGTTCATCTAATTTAGATTTAAGCATTATTGCACCAAGAGTGGAAGGAGGGCGTTTCAAGAATTCAGTAGAAAGTTTTTTTTAAAAAGTTTGAGAGTTGTTTACAGCTCTGTGACTTGCTGCCCTGTCTCTGTGTTCGCTCTTGCTTTGTATTTGTCTCCTCTTCCTTGTGGTTTCAGAATGCTGAAGCTGATCTAAATTTAAGACATTGTATCTAAGAGCAGCTTCAAAATCAAAGCTCTCTGTTCGGAGTAAGGAAGAATGTAATTCATTTGTTTCCTTGATTTTATCTGTGGTTGCAGTATATTATTTAAAACATTTCTTGATATTTTTTCCTTTTCTGACTAACTGCAAATTTACGTGCTTAGGTTGATAAGCTAGCTTGTATGTTTCCATGAGCACTTTCATGCTTAAACTAAAGCATAAAAAAAAATGCAGTACTAAAATACTTTAATATTATATATCCTGCAAAATGAAAAATTATTTTAAGAAGTTATAGTTACACCGAATTAAATAGATATGATGTAGAACCAATTAAAAAGACCCGTAACACTTTGTAAAATTTACTTATATGCTATAAAGTGAAAAATGACTTTTGGTTGTAGAACTACATACAGGTAATTAAGAGATACCTAAGTACATCTTATATGGAACAATTAATGGATTGCAATTTTATTAAAATACAGTTTCATTCAGAAAATTTTTTAATTCCTTAAGTATTTGGGTGTCTGCTGCATTGGGTGGTAGAATATAATAGTCCACAATGAATGAGTAATTCAATTTTCCCATTTATTATAATAATGCTAGTTAGATAATATTTATAGCAAATATGTCTATGTGCAGGCATTATTGCAAGTGCTTTTCATTTATTTCGCAGTCTACTTTTTTTGAAAACACATGTTCTATTTACTGTATTAAAATTAGACTAAATAGTCTATATAGCGTCTTTTAAATTATTTGTGTTTTAAATACTGTATATTTTACTTGTATCCAGATGTTGCTTTTTCATTCACTTGAATCCTTTCCATTGTCCCAGTGTTTCTCTAAGTAAATACTCTTTGGGAATTTGATCTTCCAAAAAATGTCTTACTTGATGCAATAGAGGATCAAGATGTTCATGTTTATGCTTCTTGAAAGAAATTTTAGAACAAAGAGAGAAGTGACAATCTTGAGCAGAACAATAGTAACATATTACTTGAAAATTGCTATATATAGTCTGAATGGACATTAGCAAGCCTATTTGTCATCCTGTCATTTCATATGAAGATCGCTGGAATAGAGACTGAAAAGAACAGGTTATTTATGTGGATATGTTATCATAGTCATTTAGTTTGACCTTTTCCTTACAAAGGAGTCCCTGGGGTTAAGTGCTCAGCTGCTGATCCAAAGGTTGGTAGTTCAAGTTCATCCAGAGGCACCTCGTTAGAAAGGCCTGGCAGTCTACTTCTGAAAAATCAGCCACTGAAACCCTAAGGAACACAGTTCTACTCTGACACATACAGGTCACCATGAGTTGGAATCAGCTAGATGGCAACTAGTGTGGTTTGGTTTTTTCCTTTGCCATGCTGAAATCATAAGAGAATGAAAAGGAAACTTAAATTCCATACCAGTGCTTTCCTATCAGAACTAATAATCTAGTTTGTCTGGTTGCTTTGGCCTTCGCTGCTTTTCTACTTAGAGATGCCTGGCTTTGTCTTTCAGTTTTGAAGTTACTAGATCAGTGTTAGGGAAGTGAGGTGAAGTTTTCCTCCAGTCAGTTTTGTTTCTTGGTGACAGGCAAAAAGCTAGTTTTAGAGACAAGGTTGAAGAGATTGGCTGAAACAAATACTGTATTTCCTAAGTTGTACTTTTTGCTCTCACCTTTTAATAAATTGACATGTCTTAAAATCAGTGCATGTATTTCATATGATAGTGTTTTTTCTCCCTTGAAACACTCCTATTAAAATAGTATCTTAAAATGTATAGCATCTTAGAATTAAGGGAATATAGTAGTATAGATCACGGGAGAAAGATGTGGCAGTCTGCTTCTGTAAAGATTTACAGCCTTTGGAAACCCTGTGGTGCAGTTCTGCTCTGTCCTCTAGAGTCACTATGAGTCAGAATCCACTCGATGGCAGTGAGATTTTTTTTTTTTTTTGGTAGTAGTATATATCCTTTATAAATTATTTATATGTATGATCTTTTATCGCTGCTGTTACAGATTCTTGAGAGATGACTGTTAAGCTGTGTATATTTAACACATTATTTGGGAATCTGCAAAATTTCTAGTGTAAATTGTACTTTTATAAATAAAATCCATTTTTTTACACAGAGAACATTTTAGACTTCCTGTAAAGTGATTCATTTTATAAAGAAATATTTTGAAAAAGAAAATGATAGCTTTTTGTAAAGAACACTTTTGTATCTGACTATCCCTTTCCAGTTTATCCTAAATATGTGTTTTTAGACTCCGTCTAATGGAAAAGATATAGCCCATTGGTCACATACTTAACTACCTTAATGGATTTGTTAACTTGATTTCTGAAATTATTCAGTTAAATTAAAAAACAAACCTAATACTCTTAATATGTTTAATCATGCAAGTGTAACTACTAAGGAAATTTTTTTTTCCAAGTGTTCAACTACTCCTTTTGAGCATTGTATTTTTTGTTTTTTAATTGTACTTCAGGTGAAGGTTTACAGAACAGATAGTTTCTCATTAAACAGTAGTACATGCATTGTTTTATGACATTGCTTAACAACCCCATGACATGTGAACCCTCTCCCCTCTCGACCTTTTTTTTTTTTTGGTGAAAATATACATAGCCAAAGATACCCATTTCAAAAATTTCTACATGCACAGTTCAGTGACATCGACTACGCTCTTCCAATTGTGCTGCTATTCCCACTTTAGATGAAGGTTTACAGAACAAAATAGTTTCTCATTAAACAGTTAGTACACGTTACCCTATGACAATGGTTAATGACCTCACTACATGTCAACGTTGTCCTTACTCAACCTTGGGTTCCCTATCACCAGCTTTCCCATCCCCTTCTGCCTTCTATCCCTTGTCCCTGGACTGCTGTGCCTCATTAGTCCCATTTTGTTTTATGGGGCTGTCCAATCCCCGGCTGAATGGTGAACCTCGGAAGTGACTTCACCACTGAGCTAAAAGGGTGTCTGGGGGCCATACTCTCAGGGTTTCTCCAGTCTCCTTTAGGCCAGTAAACCTGGTCTTTTTTGTGTGTGTTAGAATTTTGTTCTATATCCTTCTCTAGCTCTATCCAGAACCCTCTGTTGTGATCCTGGTCAGAGCAGTCAGTGGTAGCTGGGCACCATCTAGCTGTACTAGACTCAGTCTGGTGGAGGCCTTGGTAGCTGTGGTCCATTAGTTCTTCAGACTAATCTTTTCCTTGTAACCTGTTCTCTTCATTCTCCCTTGCTCTCGAAGGGATGAGACCAGTGGAGTATCTTAGATGGCTGCTCACAGGCTTTTAAGACCCCAGACGCTACTCACCAGGATAGAATGTAGAACATTGTCTTTATAAACTGTGTTATGCCAGTTGAGCTAGATGTTCCCCGAGACCATGGTCCCCTCAGCCCTCCACCCAGCATTTCAGTCCCTCAGGGAGTTTGGATGTGTCTATTGAGCTTCCATGACCTTACTGAGGAAATTTTTTATAGTAATATTTTTCCTTGTATTTTTTAATAAAAATAATAACTTGCATTTGCAGACTTTGTTTGGCTTTATATAAATATTCATTCTTGTTGACCCCTTCTAACTTTTGCTTGAACCCAGGGCAGGGGAAAATTAAAAGGGCATCCTGAAGAAGGAATATAGTATTTATTGATTGACCTAGATTTGGATATAAAAATACTCAGAATTTGAGGTATGGCTTTTCTAATAACAATATTATTTTCTAACATATCCACTGGCCTCACTAACACAACTATAAAATGGTAGTACAGAAATATGTAAAAATTAATCAGATGGAATCCAGTAAATATACAATAGTTTTTTCTCACCGTGCCAGTGTTTACAAAGGTATTTTAGCAAACATGAATTTGCTATGAAGCTATTTTAAGATGCATTTGTTTTATTCATTTTCCACAGTAAAGCTAGAAAACCGTCTATCTCATTAGCAGCAGCAGCAGCTGATTCATTTGTCCTTTTGACTCCTCTTTTTAGGCTCGTATTTCATAGCCTAAAGTCATTAATAAAAGAGAAAACTTCCTTCCTGTAAGGAGGAGATACATTCTTGTACCACGTTATAAACTTGACAGGGGCACCCTGTACCTACACTATAGTCATAGTCTACCCCACATGATAACTAATTCTAGGGGGGATAACTAGTTAAATTGTATATAGTAAATTCCTGTTTAATTTGGATTTTAGTTTACTGGTTTGGAGGTACGTTCTACATTACATTTTTTAATTGGAGATAGAAAGGGCAGATAGTCAAATATTGAGAAATTTTTCTAAGCCTCTTGAAACACTTATATGTGTAAGACTACAATGATAATGATACCCAGCACTGTGAAGGTCTGCGGAACTTTCAGGATTATAAAAAAAAATATGAGATTAAAAGAAATTGGTAGTCCACAAATGATGCATATGATACTGTCAGGTTAGCTAGAATAATCTAATTTATTAAATGACATTTTCTTCCCCAGTTATTATGGAAAAGCATTTACTATACTTATTTTGAAAATAGCATTATCTCAAGAGCTCCTTGGTTTAGCAATAGGACTTTGAAGAGGGGAAGTGTATGTGTGTTAATGTAATTACGAAAAAAAATTTATCTTTGGTACTAACAAGTTTCAGTGTGACTTTTGCTTAAGTATAAAAAAAAGTTTATCAGCTCAGGATATAGATTAGAACAGTTTGATGTACATGTTGCAATAACTGTTTCAAATATTTTAAGGACCAACTGTAGAACTGCGCCAAAGAAAAAAACCAAAGTCTTCAGAAAATAAGGAATTTGCCAAAGAAGAGAAAATCAAAGACACTCCAATTCCTGAAAGAGCTCCAAAACGTAAGTTAGATAGATTTGGCGTTTTTATGCTACTACAAAGATAGGATAGGATAGGATTATCTTAATGTTTTAAATCTATAACCATATTTTGTAATTAAGAGTAGTAACGTATGTGGTGGTATTAGTCACTCTCCTCTTGGTTTGCTGTAGGACAACTCCCAAATTTCGCTGGCTTACAATAAGTATTTATTTTTGATTGTTGTTACATGTGTGGCTACAGGTCAGCTGCTGTGGCTTCATGTGTCATGTCATTGTACAATCCAGGCTGAAAGAACATCCTCTATTTGGGACATGTTTTTCTTATGGCAGAGGAAATGAGCAGGAGAGCTGGCAGAATCATGCAGTGCCTCCTGAGTTTCTGCTGCACCGGCACAGTGTACTCACATTCTGTTGGTCCAAGCAGGTCATGTAATTAAGCCTGACAATGGGATGGAGAAGCGTTCCCTGACTACAGGGTAGCATTGCATGTCACGTGGCCGTGGCAGGGATGTACCATCCTTTTATACAGAAGGAAAAAATAGTTGGGAGCAATAATACAGTCTACCACACTCCGTCCTTTGGTCATAAATATTTACTTCCCTCCCTTAGACAAAATATACCAACAACCTCCCCTACCCCAAGGAATCACTTGGTCTTATCCAATCATGGCATCAGTCTTAAAGCCTAAGGCCTTCTAATCTATATCAGGTCTAGATGATTCCTTCTTATCCATAGACTATAACCTAAAAAAGACAAGTTACCTGCCTAATGTCAGGGTCCCCAAGACTACCCGCAGGTTTGCTGATTCACTGGGAGGACTCAGGATTTAGTATATAGTCATACTTAAAGCTATGATTTATTACAGTTAAAGAATACGAAGCAAAATCAGCAAAGAGAAAAGGCTCTTGGGGCAAAGATTAGAAGAAATCTTGTACAAACTTCCAAGAGTCCTCTCCCAGTGGAGTCATACAGGACATGCTTAATTTCTCTAGCATCCAACTTTGACAACAGATGTGAAGTTTTGTCTACCCAGGAAACTCATTAGAGACTCTGCCCAGTGTTTTTATTAGGAGTTGGTCACATAGGTGCCATCTGCCAATCACGTACCAAAATACTAGACTCCCAGAAGGGAAGCAGTTGTTCAGCATAAACCACAGTTGGATTTGACTCAATGGCAGTGGGTTTTTAGAAACAGTTTAGGCACAAGAAACCACCCTTATCAGTTAGAGAATGGTGGCAATCCTCCTGAAATCCAGGTTCCCAGACCCCTGCAGGCAGGCCTTCCTAAGGATAGCAGTTTCATGCCTGCTATGTTAACTCTTTTTGCACATGCCCCCTCTCTCAATACGCATTGTTGGGCAGGGGCAAAATAACCAATATAAATGTTCCCATTCAGAGAGAGGAAGAATGGCAGACACACATCAGACACTGGACCATAACAGTTCTGAAATCCTGCCATATAAATATGAGGTCTCCTTACCCTAAAATGATGACACAACCTTGCTTACTGAAAGTGAAGAGGACTTGAAGCACTTACTGATGAAGATCAAAGACCACAACCTTCAGTATGGATTACACCTCAGCTAAAGAAAACAAAAATCCTCACAACTGGACCAATAAACAACATCATGATAAACGGAGGAAAGATTGAAGTTGTCAAGGATTTCATTTTACTTGGATCCACAATTAGCACCCATGGAAGCAGCAGTCAAGAAATCAAATTACACATTCTATTTGGCAGATCTGATGCAAAAGACCTCTTTAAAGTGTCAAAAAGCAAAGATGTCACCTTGAAGACTAAGCTGCACCTGACCCAAGCCATGGTGTTTTCAATCACCTCATATGCACGCGAAAGCTGGACGATGAATAAGGAAGACTGAAGAAGAATCGATGCTTTTGAATTGTGGTGTTGGCAGAGACTATTGAATATACCACGGGCTGCCAAAAGAATGAACACGTCTGTCTTGGAAGAAGTACAGCGAGAATGCTCCTTATAACCAAGGATGGTGACACTTTTTCTCACATACTTTGGACATGTTATCAGGAGGGATCAGTCCCTGGAGAAGGACATCATGCTTGGTAAAGTAGAGCATCAGCCAAAAAGAGGAAGACCCTCAGTGAAATGGATTGACACAGTGGCTACAATGATGGGCTCAAGCATATCAGCGAGTATGAAGATGGTGCAGGACCGGGCAGTGTTTCGTTCTGTTGTATATAGGGTCACTCTGAGTCAGAACCAACTCGACAACACCTAACAACAACAACCACTACCCTAAAATAGAGAATGTTTCTTGGTTAGGCCCCAATTGTACTCCTTCGACGTAGCTTTTCAGTTCTCCATGGTCCTTGGATCTACTCTCTGGAGGTCCTTCTTTTTCCATTATTCTCCTTACCCATATCTGAAGAATAGTTTGGAATATATGCCATCCTTAGGGGCTGAATGACTTTCTTAGATTGCTTCTTGCAAAGTTGAAAACAAGTTGAGGGCCCAAAAGTTGTTTTCTGGCTCAAACAACCATAAAAACCAGACCAAACCAATTGCTGTCAAGTCAATTCTGACTCATAGTGATCCTATAGGAGTAGAACTGCCCCGTAGGATTTCCAAAGAGAGGCTAGTGGATTTGAACTGCCAACCTTTTGGTTAGCAGCTAAGCTTTTAACCACTGAGCCACCAGGGCTCCCAAACAATGATTTTAATCTAGGCTGGCTACTCTTTTGACAATACAGTGCTCTCAAAAACGTTGTCACCTTTTTATCTATATGATTCTAATTAGCTCCCTTTGCCAGTAGTCATACCTAAAATTCTTTTACAGATAATCCTTCTCAGACTTAATTAAGATACTCTAAACTTACCAGAACCAGCCCTGGTGGCACAGTGGTTAAGCACTTGGCTGCTAACTAGAAAGTAGACAGTTCAAACCCACCAGCTGCTCGTGCAGTCTGCTTTGGTAAAGATTAAACCAAACCGAAAAAACCAAACCCGTTGCCATCAAGTTGATTCCAACTTTTAGCGACCCTGTAGATTAAGCGTTTAGAAGCCTTGTGGGGAAGTTCTACTTTGTCCTATAGGGTCACTATGAGTTGGAATTGACTTGATGGCAATGGGTTTTTTTTTGTTTTTTTTTTTAAGTTTATCAGACTTTTGTGGGACCATACTCTGAATCTCTTTTTGCTAAGCCATTTTGTCTAACTGAGAAGAATTTCCTGGAGCCACCTTAATCCATTCAAGGGTTTTAAAGAAATGTGTAATAGCTATGCCTTTGATTTGGTCTTTGCCTCAATGCCTACCACCTGCCTAATGCTACAAATGTTACTTTAAAAAGAAAAAAAATTGGTGTTGTTTTCTTAATATCCCACTCCTAATACTATTTTCAGTATTAGATATATTTGTTTTGGAATAAATGGTCTCAAAGTCTCAGTGGTTTACTTCTTGCTCAAATAAGATACAGGCAGTGGGTCATCTACAGATCTAGTTCAGGACCTGGCGGCAAGAAGACTGCTTTTGGAAGCTGGAAAATGGAGATCCATGTTACGCAATGACAAAAAAATTGAGTAGAGCAGTTTCCTCTTGTCATGGATTGAATTGTGTCCCCCCAAAATGTCTGTCAACTTGGCTAGTTCATGATTCCCAGTATTGTATGATTGACCTCCCTATGTGTTGTAAATCCTATCACTATGATGTAATAAGATGGGTAAGCAGCAATTATATTGATGAGGTCTGTAAGATTACGTAGTGTCTTAAGCTAATCTCTTTTGAGATATAAAAGAGAGAAGCGAGCAGAGAGACATAGGGACCTCATACCACCAAGAAAGCAATATCAGGAGCAGAGCACGTCCTTTGGACCTGAGGTTCCTGTGCGGAGAGGCTCCCAGACCAAGGGAAGACTGATACATCACGAGGACTTTCCTCCAGAACTGACAGAGAAAGCCTTCCCCTGGAGCTGACGCCCTGAATTTGGACTTGTAGCCTACTAGACTGTGAGAGAATAAATTTCTCTTTGTTAAAGCCATCCACTTGTGGTATTTCTGTTATAGCAGCACTAGATGAGTAAGACATCTCTGAATAGTTGGAATTTTAACACATTTTTTAAAATTTTGTTTACAATACACACAGCAACACTAATATTTTTAAAAATAATATTTTTGGTGAAAGTTTATACAGCAAGTTAGGATCCCATGTGACAGTTTCTAGGTAACTTGTCCAGTGACATTTGTTACATTTTTCACATTGTGTCAACATTCTCTTTAATTGTGTTCTGGTTATTCCATTTCCAGTACTGTAGTTTCCCTGCCCCCTTATGTTTTGATCTTTGCTTTAGAGTAGATATTGACCTTTTGGTCTCATACAGATTTTTTTTTTAGTAAAGCACTGTTCTTTGCATAATATCCTTTATTTTGTGTGCCACTGCTATTTCGCTAAAAGGTGATCTTGGGATAGTTTCAGTTCAAGGTTTAAAGAGTATCTTAGGGCAGTAGTCTCAGGGAGTCCTCTGGTCTCAACTGGTCCAGTTAGTCTGTGATTTTTTAAGAATTCAAGTTTTGTTCTACTTTTTCTCCCATTCTATTGGGACCATCTATTGTGACCCTGGTCGAAACGATCATTGGTTGTAGCTGGGCACCATTTAGTTCTTCTGGTCTCAGGGTAGATGAGGCCATAGCTCTAAGTAGGCTATCAGCCCTGTAGATTTGTTTCTTCTCTGAGATTTGGGTTACCTTCTTACTCTTTTGCTCCTGACAAGTAGAGGCCAGTAGTTGTATCTTAAATGACTGCTCTCAAGCTTTTCAGACCCTAGACACTCACTTCACTAGAATGCAGAACATGAACTTTGTGAACTGACTGAGTTGTCCCATGAGAGTTGTCCCATGGTCCTAAGCGTTCAAACCCAGAACACCAATCTTGAAAGGTGTTTCATTATGTCTGAGGAGTATCTGTAGTTGTGTCTTCAATGACTATATGTGCCTGCACACACATATGTATATTTACATGTACATATAGATACTTCTGTTTGTTCTCGCATACGTATACACCTGCTCCTACCCGTATACCTATATGCCTTTACCCGTCCATGTATGGTCTTACACTCATCTTTTGGTCTTTGTTGTAATTGTTGCCATCTTAGTATTTCAGATTTTCTTTAGTACCGGCATCCTTTTCTCTTGTGATATCATTTGCTTTGGTTGTGCTGTGCCCACTATATCCACATTCGGTGCCACTTTCCCATCACCAGAAAATAACAAGTATCTACAGTCTAAAGCATAACACTAATTTTTGATCATTTTAAGTGATGAGATTGCAAAATAACATTACAAAATCTCCTGGTTATTATTAGCTGCATTTAACTACAGGCAGGAGATGAGTTTAGAATAGAATTGGCCTATTTGCAAGCAGGAATGAAGGGGAAAATAGATAATTCAAAAATCTGGAACTTGCAGTATTTTTCAACCAGTAAAAGATAAAACTGAGAGATACTTCGAGTAGCAAAGGCTGATTAAGATGAATCTTCAGGGCAATGACCAAATAAAGGCATGGCTGTCATACAGTGTGTTAAAATGTATTAAGTCCGTAGTCCTAGTAAATCTTTTCAGTTAGACTCAGGGAAAAAGGATGCTAAAGGTGTGGTCTGACAAAAACTTGATAAGCTCCAAATACATGTAATTAAGCCTTTGAGAGAGGCATATCTAGAAAAGAATTATGGTTGTAATTATTGGTACATTGAGCTGACTGGAATCAAATAGGTAAAAAGCTGACAGAGTTTTTCTTTTCTTTGCATATATATAGCAGTTAGGAGCCCAGGTGGTGCAGTTGTTAAAAGTGCTTGACTGCTAGCCAAAAGGTCGGGAGTTTGAACCCACCGGCTGCTCTGCAGGAGAAAGATGCGGCAATCTGCTTCCATAAAGATTTCAGCCTTGGAAGTCCTATGTGGCAGTGCTACTCGATGGCAGTGGTTTTATATAGCAGTCGTGTATAAACCTTTAAAAGTATAATCATCAAAACTCATTGAATTGTACACTGTAAGTGATGCAGTTCAGTGTAGTTTATAGTATGTAAATTTTTCCTCAATAAGGAAAAAAAATTCCTTGATAAAGAGCAAAAAATACCAATAGTAATTCTGAATGAACCTGTATTTTTTCCTCCAGATGCTGGGTAGTCTTTCTTTTGATTACTTTTTTTTTTTTAAGTCTTTATTTTATTAAAAAAAAAAAAATTATTGTGGTAAATACAACAAAAGTTTACCATTTTAACCATTTTTGAGTGTATAGTCCAGTAACATTAATTACATTTACCATGTTGGGCTATCATCACTACTGTCCATTTCCAAAAGTTTTCAGCACTCCAAACAGCAGGAACTCACTGTTCCCTCCTCCCCCCAGCCCCTGGTAACCACTAATAAACTTAACGTATTTGCAGTAGACATTAATTTTTAAAACAGTTTTAGACTTGCAGAAAAATTGAGCAGATGATACTGAGAATTCCTATATCACACCCTATACCCCTTACACACATATACATAGTTTTTCCTATTTTTGGCAGTTTATATTAGCATGGTACATTTGTTACAATTAATGAACCAATATTGAAACATTATTATTAACTAAAGTCCACACTTTATTCAGATTTATTTAGTTTTTACCTAATGCCCTTTTTCTATTCCAAGATCCCATCCAGGACACCATATTACATTTAGTTGTCGTGTCTCCTTAGGTTCCTCTTGTCTATTTTCTTAGACTTTCCTTGTTTTTGATAACCTTGACAGTTCTGAGGAGTACTGATCAGGTATACTGTAGGATGCTCCTCTACTGGAATTTGTCTTATGTTTTTTACGTGATTAGACCAGGGTTATGGGTTTTTGGGAGAAAGCACAGAGTTAGACTGCCATTTTCCATCATATTGAGGGTACGTAGTAACTTTTGATTACTTTTAATATGCTTTTACAGATGTATTGTTTCAGCGCTTCGCAAAGGTTTTCATTGGCTGTCTTGCAGCAGTTACTAGTGGTATGATGTATGCTCTCTACTTATCAGCATACCATGAAAGGAAATTCTGGTTTTCCAACAGGCAGGTAAGAAGAAAGAATTTTGAGTATATAAAAGTTGTTTTAATATTTAGTATTAATTTGGCTAATCTGTTTTCCAGGGAGCCAAAGTATATGTGTAAGTAAGTTTTTTTTTAAGTTTTTAAGTTTAAGTACATTTAAGACCGTTAGAAAAAATGCTCTAGAAGCTCTTTTGAGAATACCCAGTCACGGTATCAACCTTGAAATGTTCATTACAATGTATTTCAACGCCAGAGAATAGAAGCTATGAGGATGCATTCTCATGCAATTCATTTATCAGGGAATTTTGATGATAGTGAAATGTTACAGAGTCATTCAGTCAGCCTTTCAGTAGTTTTGGTAGATCGCATTTCAGAAACAACCTATAAAAATTTCAGCATTAAAGTATTTTAATTTTTAGATTACATGATTAGAATTTTTTGGGGGGTTGAAAATGATTAACAGACTTAACAGTACTTATTAAATTATTTCATATTAGTATGTTTAATGTCTAGTTTTAAATCATGTATGTTCTTTAGTACGATACTTATGTTCATGATTTCATAATGTGGTCTTTGAGTAAGGTTATTTTCAGACTTAACTTCGCAATCAGATATATCTGTGATATGAATGGGCAAAGTTCACAGTGTTACCACTTGACTTCATAAAACCAAACCTGTTGCCGTCGAGTTGATTCCAACTCATTGTGACCCTGTAAGGCAGAGTGGAACTGCCACATAGGGTTCTCCAAGCCTGTAGTATATTTTTACACAAATAACGTGCACCTTCTGCGTTTGTTTGCCAACGAGCCCCTCCTCCCCCTGCAAGGTATTTTCATAAGTGCACTATGCTTTTTTTTTTTCTTTTTTTTTTACAGCAACACGTTAAAAAAAAAAATCAGCATAGCAGCACTTTCGAAAATACCTCATAGGGGGAGGGAGCAGTTGGCAAGCAAACATAAAAGGTGCGTATTATTTGCATAAAAATATGGTAATCTTTACAGAAGCAGACTGCCGCATCTTTCTCCTGAGGAATGGCTGGTGGGTTCAAACCGCAGACACTTCAGTTCATAGCTGAGCGCTTTAACCACTGTGCCTCCAGAGCTCTTTCTTGACTTTATAGGCTTTTTAACATTTTTGAGCCCAAACTAGTTTTTTTTTGTTTTATTTTTTATATTTGAGCAAGTACTCAATCAGAATTGATTTACCTAACACCACCAAGACAATTAACAGTGTAATTACTGACTACACCTTTATGGATTTGACAAAAATTATTACTGTAGCGTATGCTGTTTCCTTGAAGACATTGTGCAGATTAACTAGTAGTAATTCTCAACACTGGATGTATAATAGAATCATCTGGGGAGTTTTCAAAAATTATTTCCCTCCCAGATTCTTAGGTGGGGGTTGAGGGTGCAGTGGCTGTGATCATTATTTTAAAAAATATTTCCAGGCAATTCTGTTGGATAGGCAGCACTGAGAACACCCAAAGGTTTGAAAATATAGAAAGCATTCATCAAAAGTCTTGTTTTTCAGAAAGCCTTGTGTATGGGTCAGGAGCATTGCCATCACCAGGAAGTTCTTTTAGAATTCTGAAGGCACCACTTCAGAATTAGAATCTACATTTTAATAAGAGCTCTAGATATTTCCTATGCACATTAAAATTGAGAAGCTCTGATTAAGAGTTTAACTCTTTGAAATCTTAGAAGCAAATCTGTTTTTATTTATTTAAAAATAATTTTAAGGATGTTTATCTTTTTAGATTAATAACCTAAATGAGGAGAAAAATATTCCTTGGTCAAGTTGATCTGGGGAAAATCTTGGAGATTCACAGTGCATGATAAATATTGAAACTCTTAAAAGTCTTGCAATAAAGAAACCTCTTAGCTTTGTTTAATCCAGTCTTTCCCAAAAATTTTTAAGTAGAGAACTTCTTTTTTAGATAACATCTATTTATATCTTAGGTAGTTTGTTGATCAGTCTTTGGGTTTGCTATAACTAATATCTTTTGTTTATGCATGAAAACAAATTGAGTTTGATTTTAAAAGATTATAGATTCAGCATGAAAATGCATAAGGGTTCCCTAATGTCTTTGACTACTGTATTCTTGGTTCTTTATAGCCTAATTCTAGGAATTTAAGACTTGCTTATATTTCAGGAAATTCATTTGAAGAGCACTGATTAAGGATCTGCTGCTCTTGAACAGTACTAAGGGCTTGTTGTTCTGGATACATGGGAAGGTGGAAAATTAATAAGAAATAATACTTTCCTAAATTTGTCTTTTTCTGATGGACTTCTGACATCTCAAACATCATTCTTTAGCACCTTCCTTATTATTCTTGCTATCCTTAGGACATTTCTTTTGGTTTTGCTTCTGCAGTTTCCTAATGTCTAACAGGTAATTATGCATTACAATCCATTTTAAACCTTAAGTGTTTCATTAAAATGTTTGCCAGATTATTGAAAAGTTTAACCTCTTCATTAATATAGCTATTAATGATTAAAGAAGGAAGACTGCATCTGAAATTTAGTATGCTGATATTTAAATAACCATTTCATATTTTCTTTTAGGAGCTTGAACGAGAAATCACCTTTCAGGGTGACAGTGCCATTTATTACTCCTATTATAAAGATATGTTAAAGGCGCCTTCATTTGAAAGAGGTATAATAATCAATTTTGTATTTTTAATAACAGTATTTTCCTGAAATAAAATATTGTTCATCTAGATTGGAGCCTTTGAATATGGAGATTTGTCTTAGAATATAGATACTGCTCTTTACCATACTTAGTACAGAATTGGAAAAATGGCAGAGTATTAAATTTTGGAATCTTTCTTGATAATAATGTAAAATATTTAATGACTTATGAATGAAATGTTTACTTAATTATTATAAAAGCAAAATAATCTGGAGAGGAATTTTTCTATCTTTAGGTGTTTATGAACTGACACACAATAACAGAACTGTATCTCTGAAGACAATAAATGCAGTGCAGCAAATGTCTCTATATCCAGAACTTATCGCCAGTGTTTTATATCAAGCAACTGGTGGCATCGTATGTGTTTTTCTTTTGACCTTAATATTCATTTTCTCATATATTTATCATTCGTCAAATTATTTAATGTCATCCTATTAACTCCCCCACTCTTCTTGGTTTTTCCTTCCCATGTAGGAGATTATTGAACCAGTGTATTTCTACATAGGCATTGTTTTTGGATTGCAAGGAATATATGTGACTGCTTTATTTGTTACAAGTTGGCTTATGAGTGGAACATGGCTAGCAGGAATGCTTACTGTTGCATGGTTCGTTATTAATAGGTAAGAAAGGTGTTTTTCATTGATTTTTACTGTTTTTTTTACAGCTGTGATAGAGTTCTAAAAATGGCCCCCCTCAAGATTTCACATCCAATCCCCAGAATCTGTGAATATAATGAGATACCGTTCCCATGATTAGGTTATGTTTTGTGGTACGGTTGAGCTTGAAAGCAGAGAGCTTTCTCTAGCTGGTGCAGAAGAGGAAGTCAGAGAGGCTTGAAGCATGAGAAGGACTTGATACTCGTTGCTATCTTGAAGCACGGAGGAAATGAACTTTGTCAACAACCAGCAAGCTTGTAAGAGGACTGCAGCCCTGGCTGATACCTTGTTTTTAGCCCAATCAGACCCTGAGCAGAGAATCCAGCCATGCTGTGCTGACTTTTGTGAGATGATTAATTTGTGTTGTTTTTAGTCACTACATTAGTGGGAATTTGTCACACAACAATTGAAAAACAATACAGCAGTCCTGTATCTCTTTTTTCAGACATACTGACATTCACATAAACCTCTTTTGTTTCTTCTTTTGTTTAAAATTGATGACATATCTTCTTGAAAAGGAGGGAGACATCAGATACATCTCTGTTAAGTTAACCACATAGATAAGGACTCTACTAATCTATGATCTTGTGCTTTGAATTAATAAACCCACCCCCTTTTGTGATCACAAGAGCCTTAGTTCTTTAATAGAGAGTAAAAAGGAGTCTCTGGGTGGTGGTGGAAGGAGCCTTGGTGGTGCAGTGATTAAGCGCTCGGCTGCTAACTGAAAGGTCAGTGGTTTGAACCTACCAGCAGCTCCTCAGGAGAAGAATGTGACAGTCTTCTTCCCATAAACATCACGGGCTTGGAGACCCTATAGGGCAGTTCTACTCTGTCCTGTAGCGTTGCTATGAGTTGGTATCGACTCAGTGACAATGGGTTTGTTTTGTTTTTTGGGGGGGGTGGTAGAGGAAGGGAAGTGGAAGCTGCAAGAGTAGACTTTTTGAAGTATTTGGCAGCTAAGGGGAGGAGAGAAGTTGGGGAAAAAATTGAGTGTGTCAGGGTTGAGGGGACTTAATCTGATTTTAGAATGAGATGAAGGATGCAGAGGACAGGATTTAATGTGTAAGGAGTAGGGTCAAGGGCGATAAATAATGAAACAAGGCCCCAGTTAAGGTAGAAGGGAATGTGATTAAGTGCAGTTAGTAGCCATGGGGAAATGTATTTAAAGTATATTCTGTTTATAGCATGCTCATGCATGCTGCAGAGGCAGTACATAGGATTTTATATAGTTACTCGACTTAGGCCGGAGTCCTTGGGTCATGCAAAAGGTTAAGCACTCGACTGCTAGCAGAAAGGTTGGCGGTTTATACGTACCCAGAGGCACCTCAGAAGACAGGCCTGGTGATCTGCTTCCAAAGGGTCACAACCTTGAAAACCCTATGGAGCCATTCTATGGAATTGGAATCGACTTCGCAGCAACTAACAACAGTAATAAAAAAGAGACTAGGGGATGGGGCTTTGACGTGGAGGGCCGGTTTAAGACGTCATAAAATTCTTCTTGGCATTGGTCAGTGTCATAGATTAATTTTTATTTATTTATTTATTTTCTTTATTCTACTTCAGGTGAAGGCTTACAGAACAAATAGTTTCTCATGAAACAGAAGTACACATGTTGTTTTATAACATTGGTTAACAACCCCACAACATATTAACCCTCTAACTTCTCAACCTCTTTTTTTGTTTGGTGAAAATACACATAGCGAAAGATACACCATTTCAAAAATTCCTACATACACAGTTCAGTGACATTGAC